TTAATTCACCAACTCAGCATATATGGATCGCCCGGATAAAGAAGTTTTTCGTGGTAAGTAATATTAACCAGTGGGGCCTGACGGTGTCGGTACTACGTGAAGCATTTCAAGGGCACAGGTTGAATAGAATGCTGAGTCACGCGAGGGATGACCATCAATCGGTTGTTAAACATTTTTGTAAATGAGTAGTTAATTACTTTTTTTTTGTGTTTGGATGTATTTTTCTCTAGGTGAAATCAAATTATTCTATCACTGCATCTGAACTTTTACAATTTGAGTTTTGAGAATCAGATTATTCCATGTACCAGTTGCAATGAAGTTTTAGTGATGGAGACCAAATCGGCTCCATGCAGCGAGAAGAAGGAAACTGTTCAGCGTTCACTACCTCTCAACGGGGATAGCTTTCCGTGCGCTACCTTAGCTGCTAGTTGGCCAACCAGGGTGCGCCCTGCCAGAGCACACCGTCGCAGTGACGGCGGCTTCATGAGAAATTTAATCACCTACTCCCTCCATCATAAAATATAAACACTTTTAGCAGTGTCAAGTCAAATATATTTTACTTTGACTATTAATAGCAAAACAAACAAAAGGATCATCAATCATGTAAATTTTATGTCTCTTAATTTATCATTAAACAAAGTATTGTAATATGCAACTCATTTTATTTATAACATATTACTTTTATAGAAAAAGTACGAATTACCCACTGAACAATCATGACAGTACGAATTACCCACAAAACCAGATATTTGATACCCCAAACTATTGAAACCGGACAAATTACCCCCTTGTTCAATCCGGACTGGTTTTAATCCAATGTGGCATACATGTGGAGCCAATGCAGAATTCCAAAAAAATAATAATAAAAAACTATGGGCCCATAGTCATACCCTACCCCTCTGTGTCTTTTCTCTCTCTACCGCTAGGGGCGCGATGGGCGCGGCGCAGAGGGTGGGCGGCGACTGCGGATGCGGCGGGGAGGGCCGGCTGCGATCACGGATGCTACGCACGAGGGTCGGTGGCCACGTCCACGGCGGCGACGCACGAGATGGAGCCGCACAGGAGGTGGATGGCAGTGAGGAGGGCCGCCACCGCTGATCATCCCTTTCCCCTCTCCTTCTCTTTCGACTCCCTCCCCTTTCCTGCAGTGCGGAGGCGGTGGGCGGGGAAGAGGAGACGGCGGCGGTCTGGGAGGAGAAGGCGACGACGTCGGCGGTGGTCCGGACAGACAAGGTCGCAATGGGGGAGGGCGGGTGGTAGGCGTGGCGGGAGGGCAGGCGGTGAGCACGAAGGGGAGGGCCGTCACCTTTGTGGGAGCGTGAGCTCTCTGTCCCACGCAGCACCAGCACCACCAACGCTGGCGGAAGCTAGGTCCCTCTCCGCCTCCGCCGCTGGACGCCCGGGGGAGTTCCGCCTAAGCAGCCTGCCTCTCGAGCAATCTCCACCTCTGCTGCCGGCCTCAAGGTGAGCTCCGCCTCAGTCGGTCACCACCTGGGCGTGCTCCACGTCCAACACCGGCCGCCTGGTCATGTTCCGCCTTAGTCGCCCGCTGCCCAGGGGATCTCTATCTCAGTCGCCCACCGTTGGCCACCCGGTCCGCCTCATCCGCCGCTGGTCGCACGGGCGAGCTTCGCCTCAGCCGCTCGTGGTGCGGGCAATCTCCACCTCCGCAGCCGGACGCTCGGGCGAGCTCCGCCTCTGCCACCGGCCATCCAATGCGTGCGCCTCCTCCTTGGCAGCCGGCCGTCCGAGCGGATGGGCATGACAGGTGGGCCCAGGGAGTTTTTTTTTGCTGACTGGGTTGCCACGTTGGCGCCACGTGTGCAAGCTCAAGTGAAAACCACTCAAAATAGTGTTGAGGGGGGTTGTTTGTCCGGTATGAATACTTTAGGGTGTAAAATGTCTGTTATTTCAGTTTAGGGGTATAATTCCATAGACCACGATAGTTGAGGGGGGTAATTCGTACTTTTTCCTACTTTTATAGATATTGTTGGTCAAAGTAGCATCTCGAATATTGTGTCAAGGTCTAAAAACGCTTATATTTTGGGACAGAGGGAGTAGTAATTAAGGGGAAGAAATCTGTACGGTAGGGTTCTAAGTAATAACATGATTTGAATTACCTTATGCTCATTTCTATCACAGATCCTGGTTCCATATATAACAGGTTTTCAGATAACTTATCTTTAACAGGTCGAAAATTAACTCATTTAAAATGTGGCTACTTGGTACAACTCACTACATACGTGAGCGTAGTTGTAACTTGTAACAGATAATTTCTATGAACCATAAACGAGTCACTCATTCGTGATGGGTCGTAACTACCACCCAACATTTGGTAGTTACGACACATTACTAATGACTGAAAATTCAAAATTTTCAATTTTGCAAACAATCACAGATGGAGACATGTGATATATTAAAGTTGTAGATCAAAATGATATATACAATCTTATAGCTGACAACTTTTTTATTAGAGATCGTTTACATCCACAAATATATATGCATTATAAGTCATAAGATCTACATCGAAACCAAAATCCCATCACAAATGAGGGTTGTCATATGTCACAGATGAGGTGTTTCATGGCATATATAGGATTTTGCCAACGTTATCTCGAACCATATATATAAACCATCTATTGAATAATATTTGTTGGAGGATGGCCCTACTAGCCCTCAATTTAAATTGAGGAAGCCTCTTTACCATTAAATAACTCTTTGACACTACCATCACTTGGAAGATATCTCGGTGTGGTGATCACTTCGCCGTAGACCTAGCCCGTTACATCTAGTAGGACATACTACCTCCGTCCCAAAATAATTGTAATTCTAGGTTATTTGGCATATATTAAGGTTTGAGAAGAAAGACTATGATGTCCCTCGTTAAATGGTGTATAGATAAAAGTGGAAAGGTGGTTGAGGGTAAAATAGGGAGAAATTTGAATGGGAAGTGATTAATGAGACAATTACTACTCTATTGTGACAACTATTTTGGGACAAATTTAAATCCTAGAAATACAATTATTGGGACGGAGGTAGTATATATTTATATACTAGGTGAATGCAAATAACAGGTGTGCTCCTAAAATTTGTATCATAATTAAGTGAAGGAAAAACAAAATTTAGTAGCTATTACTAAGCTTTAGCCTGTAAATAGGACCAGATGAATATTTCACATGTTTGGAGAGCTCTATATACTGCACATACGCGTATATATATTTCACACCATGAATTGTGACAGCAATGTACTTCCTATTCCTGGAATAATGCATGTGCATTAATTGTATTTTCATCATGTCCATCATGACCAACTCAATTTTCATATGCATAAGTACCCGACGCACCAATCCCACCAAGATCATGTTATTGAGCCCTTGAATATGCCGAGAGGTCAATGAGATAAGACGCCGATGCCAAATGATACGTGGTAGTTGCAGCTGTATGCATGGAATAGAAGGTATCAGGAATTTCGTTCCTAATATACAGAGTATCCAGACCATGTTTACCAATGTTTACATGTCCATCAGCGGTGGTGAGCTAGGAATATTTGCCACCATAAGTGAGACAGCTGAGAAAAAGGGTTTGTGAACTCGGATTGCCATTCAAATGGCAATCTCTAGCGCTGGGATAGAAATTAGAACACGTACAGCCTGCTGGACTCAATGCCACGAAGCCCAAGTTACTGTCTGTCCATCCTGCCATGAGATCGATCCGCCACGTGCCGGCCAGGGGACGGACCGGGAACGGCCCCCTTCGGGGGCCTTCGCCGGGCGTCGAACAACCGACTCAGAACTAGTACGGACAAGGGGAATCCGACTGTTTAATTAAAATAAAGCATTGCGATGGTCCTCGCGGATGCTGACGCAATGTAATTTATGCCCAGATCTCTGAATGTCAAAGTGAAGAAATTCAACCAAGTGCGGGTAATCGGCGGGAGTAACTATGGGCCTGTTCACTTTGATGCCATTTCCAACCTTACCAAATTTTGGTAAAGTTGCCAAAAAAGTGGCTACATTTAGTTTGCTGCCAAATTGTGGTAACTATATAAGAAATCCTACCAAAATTATCAAAATTTGGTAAGGTTTTTTTTGGCATCAAAGTGAACAGGCCCTATGACACTAATTAATGACGCCCATGAATGGATTAACGAGATTCCCACTGTCCCTGTCTACTATCCCGCGAAACCACAGCGAAGATAATGGGCTTGGCGGAATCAGCGGGAAAAGAAGACCCTGTTGAGCTTGACTCTAGTCCGACTTTGGTGAAATGACTTGAGAGGTGTAGGATAAGTGGAAGCTCTCGGGCGGAAGACATTGTCAGGTGGGGAGTTTGGCAGGGGCGGCATATCTGTTAAAAGATAACGCAGGTGCCCTAAGATGAGCTCAACGAGAATAGAAATCTCATGTGGAATAAAAGGATAAAAGCTCGTTTGATTCTGATTTCTAGTACGAATATGAACCGTGAAAGCGTGACCTGCTATCACATGGGTCTAGTGACATGTTAGACAAGTCCAAAATTTGAATAGAGATCGCTTGTGATTGTAACTCACTAGGACATCTTATTTATTGTCATTTTCTTTTAATAATTAATTACAGGTAGTTAACATCCAAACTATCGTGAGGTTTAAAGTGATCTTACTAGTAGTAGTTTCCATAATTGTCCCTTCACTCGGACAAACTGTACTTTTAAGCCTTTTTGGACAAGTTTAGATAGGAGTGGTCCCATCGCCTTCGGCGTGCTTTGCCATCTTGGCATCACTAGTATTTTCTTGTTTTGCCATCCACTCTGTTCATGATTCGTCCCAATATAAAGGCTGCGTTTGGGAGGAGTGGTTGGCAACCCCTCCGTCCGGCACGCAAAACGAAGCTCGTTTTATTACATGATTAATGTTGTATTAACTAATTTTTAAAAAGTAGATTAATATGATTTTTTAAGCAACTGAAAAGCGTGCGCGCGGAAAACGAGACAGGTGGGTTGGGAAAATTGGGGAAAGAACACAGCCAAAGGGTGGGCTACTGGCTACGATCTATCTCCAACAATGATCAATAAAGGTTCCGTTATATTTTTTACAAAAGTTAACATCTTAAAAAAGCTTACGCATACATTGCCTGCTTGCATCTATTAGAGTATAAATGAACTATGTTATTCTCCATTGGTTTAAACTTTCCCCTGAACTGGCTGATGCATGCAGCTCACCAATGCGAAACTTATTGACAGGATTAACGGCTCAGTTGCACCATAATTCTCAGAAAAGCTAGCCATCGAATCACTGTGCACCTTCATTATTCCCCCATTTAATCTGACAGGATCGACTAATACATCATCCCAAAACAATTAAATTAACTCTTGTCCAGCAGAGTTCACATGCAAGTAAAAGCCCTCGATTCATCCAATCCCTGAAAATCTCCTAGTTATTTTGTGTACTAGTATTGCCGGTTTAATTTACCATGGCACAGTATTATGTAATTAAGTAGCATGCAACACACCTATTAGAGGAGTCAGAACTAACCGGAAGAATATCCGGACTTATATATAACACGTGTTTTCTAGTCGACCAGCAGACTAGTTCTGAGAAAAGAAGAGAGCTAGGGAGACAAGTTGCACTATATAGTCTGAAAAGCCGCGGGCGACTTGTACAACCTTCCCTTTCTTTTTCTTCCTCCTGGCGGTCATCCCCGATTTCGCCGCAGTACTGGAAATCGCAAGGAGGGTGTTCTCCCCATGGAGAAATGTGAGAACCTGCCCCAGATTTCGCAGGAGTCGGACTAGGGGTGTAGCCATGGGACCCATCATCCTCAGATCTCCCTTCTTCTATAGTGAAATTGTAGGAGCTCCCTACCCGTCCCCTTAAAAAAAAAATCCATCACTGCATGAGATTGGAACTAAACATCTATGAGAACTTATAAATAATATTAAGTCTATGTACGATACTTCTAAATTGTCCAGGCAAACATCTTCAGGGCAGCATTACAAAGGCACACATACACCAACACGAATCAATGCGAAGTTGTTGTAGTCAACAATGCACACATATTTATTTTTTGTTGCATATAGCAACTACGGTTAAATAAGCAGGGGGCAGCCAGTCTTAGCAGCCTGTAACGAGTTGCCTAGATAACTGATGGTAGCCAATTGGAATGCAAGGCATCAGGACACCAACCGGAGCTGGCTTTTCTTTTCATAGGGGGTCGTGATGTCTTTCTACGGAATCACATGCCTATTTATTAGATCCTACTTGTGGGGCACTATTTTGTGGAATATAGGTAGTGCTTATGACCGATTTGATAGAAAAGTGGGAGTAGTGTGCATTTTTCGTTGGGTCTTCCTTCGATTCCTTATGCAGGATATCCAATCAATTAGAATTCAGGTTAAAGAAGGTTTTTTTCCTCGCCGTATCCTTTATATGGAAATCTGGGCCAGGGGCCATTCCCTTGAGAAGTTTTTTACTGTACGAGAAATTGAGCTTTATGCAAGACCTGTGTTTTACCTACACAGTGTGCCTAGCTTAACATCACAATGCAGACACCGTGGAGGTATTTGTTGGGAATAGTCCCACATTGCTTATCTATGGGGAGTTGAATCAACTTAAAAGTAAGTGAGGGGAGTCCCTCACCTCTTAAGCTACCTTTTAGAGTGTAGCAAGGTTTTCACCAGGTTGGGCTAACGTCTCTCGGTTTTGGGCCAACAGTATTGGCGACTAGAGCAGTTCTATGTTGATCTGCCCTGAGTCTTCTGAAACACAAAGAGAATGGGGAGTTTTGGGACTTTTACTGCATATCACGTGATCATAGAGAAGGGCGAGAGAAGCAGCAATATGTACAAGCCTCTAGTGAGAACAATGAAGAGAGGAAGAGATGAACAGCGTGCTTGATTAGTTTGTTGCGTGTTGTGTGCTTTGTTACATGTTCCATGAACGATTGGACCCAGGTGGCACTGCACTGGATAGAGGATTAAAATCATCCAATAAATGGAAAAAGTATTAACCGGTTCCACAAACTTCTATTCTTCTTACTTAGTTTCATTCTGCTCTTGACACAAACTACCAATCTCTTGTCAAATAATAAAAGTTATAAAAGATTTTGATCAAATCTTATCCTAAACGTCAAATATTCCGGGTGAACTAGTTATTTTTCACTACTGGTATCATGTGTCAATCCTTTCCTTAGTGATAAAGGAAAATGGTTCTCCATTCCATGCAACTTTACTACTGAAAATCCTTTTAGCTAATGAGCTGTATGGAGCATCCTTTTCTGGGTAAAGAAAGAGATGGTGGGAGAGCAAAGAAGATGATGGATGGAGATGACATGTGAGACCCACTTCCCTATGTGCATTTGGCTCTTTTCACCTCATCCGTCACCGTCGGATAGGCGGAAGACGCAAAATTGACATGTGTACCATTTCCCCCCAGAGCAGCTGAGGTTAAACTGGATTTTTCACATTTTGGTCCTTTTAAAAAACTTATTTCGCAAATAGACCTTTGGAGTAAACTTATCCCAGAAATAGTTCCTTTTTGGGGCGCCACAGTGCTGGCGCCGTCGTCCAACGGGTACGGCGCCAGCCTCTTTGGCGCCGTCCTCCTGCCACCGTGGCACACGCGAGCCGACGTGGCAGGAGGAGGGCGCCAACATGGCTGGCGCCGCCCTAGGGAGGAGGACGCCAGCCATGCTGGCACCGCCCCCCCTCCGCCCCACCCCTCGCCTCCATTCCTGTTTCTCTATATAGAGTTGCAACATTTTTATTTTTGTTTTATTTTTTCCAATGTTTTTTCGCACTTAAGATCACGATACAACCAACTACCAGAGAAAAAAAATTAAACTCGAACGGAATATACCATTTAGCTAGATATCCGAAAATAGTATACCACTTAGCCTACTTTGCACCTTCATTAAAATTAAACCATAACTCCTTTAGCATGTTAAACATAATCACTCTACCACTATATGAAATTACTTAATCTCTAACCACATGAAATGATGTAGTTTTTTATTTTTATTTTATTTTTTGATATTTTTTCACACTTAGGAGAATACAGGAACCAACCGTAGAAAAAATAAACTTAAACGGATAAAATATGTGACTTCTAGAATTTTCCAAAGCTCTCCCGAAAAGTCATTCATGTGTCATTTATTAAAATAGGCGTAACTTTCTCATATGGACTCGAAATCAGGCAAATAATATATCCACGTACATCTACATAAAAAGTTCAGCAATATTAAAACCTCCAAATTCCGCTTGCAAGATTGTGTTTTCGAGGAGAGAAGTTTTTCGGTAGAGCTTTGGAAAATTCCACATGCCACATATTTCATCCGTTTGGGTTTATTTTTTATATGGTTGGTTCTTGTGAGTTCCTAAGTGTGAAAAAAATATCAAAAAAATAAAATAAAAATAAAAAAGTTGCACATCTCTCTCCTCTGCACTAGTTCGGAAAGAGAGGATAGGAGAGGAAAAATTTTACAGGTCACATATTACGTCCATTTGGGTTCATTTTTTCTATGGTTGGTTCTTGTGTGTCCCTAAGAATGAAAAAAATATTAAACAAATAAAAGAAAAATAAAAAATTTCGGGGGGGGGGGGGGGCTGGCCGCTAGCCATTCTGACGGCGCTCCCCCTAGCCACCTTAGCATCGCCCCGCCACGTCGGCAGGGGGACGGCGCCAAAGAGGCTAGCGCCGTCAAGTTGGACGACGGCGCCAGCCACTCTGGCCCCAAAAAGGACCATTTCTGGGATAAGTTTTTCCAAGGGTCTATTTGCGAAATAAGTTTTTCAAAAGGACCAAAATGTGAAAAATCCAGTGAGGTTAAATGAGTAGAAGGCACAAAACCTGAGCCAGCTATCCTCTGCGACTATATGGGCTAAAAAGAGAGGAAGTCCAGCAGCAATTAGAGAAATCGGCGGAGTTGCCTAGAAAATATGATGGTAGCCAATTGGAATGGAAGTCACCAGGATACCAACACCAGCCTGGAGAGTCTGCACGTTATTCTAGGCCTGATTTTACGTACATGGCAACCTTCCTGAACATTCCATCACGCAGTGAAGGAAGGCAATAAGGCATCCTCAATTCAAGCCAGAGCATAACATCTCGGTATCGAGTGCTCTAGACCAGCAAGACAAATAGTGGAGGCGCCCTGATCATTGTATGCTTCAAAATGGCTTGCATACGCTAGTAGATCGTTCGAGGGCTGGGACATTATGTCACCATCATTAGGTCCCTGGACACGTTTGGATAGGTTTAGAGTTAACAGATGGTAGGATGCCAGGATGGCATTTGCAGGTCCAGCTTTTTACTTGCGTGCGTGAACAATGAGATAATTGTACTGATCAGGGATGACCAATCCTCATCTTAATTAGTTTCCATCACTAATACGAAAACGATTTTTGTGTGTGGTCGAAAGGGATTTTCGCGTGCGGATCTCATGCCCGTCTACAATGGGGTGTCTGCGAAAATACGAAAATTTTCATGTGGGTGACGCACCCGCACGCGAAAATATCAGATTTTCGCGTGCGGTTGGCTTATGTCGCCTGCACGCACAAAAAAAATGCAAAAAAATAAAATCAAGAACCTAACCCTAGCCGCCGCCCACCTCATGGTCACCGCTGTCATTGTCGTTGTTTGCCGTTGCCTTCCGCCGCTCCTGGCCCCGTCACCGCCGCCCACCGCCGGATCCATGCGGGAGAGGGGCGCCGCCTCCAGATTATGCCGGGCGGGCGAGGGGCACCTCCACAGGGTTGTGCGCACGAATCCGCTGCCCGCCGCCGCTCCTGGCCGCCGTCGGCCATCGCAGGCCGCCGTGCGCCTGTCGCTCGCCTTTGTTCCCGGCCACCGCCGGCCGCCTCGCACCCATCACCGTGCCCCACGCCTGTGGAGAGAAGAGACCAGAGAGAGATAAAAGAAATAGGATAACAACGAGTAGGTGGAGACGATAAGATAGAATTTTTGAAGTGGTTGAGAGGGGAAAATGCCTAAGGAGGAAGGGGATTTTCGCTCGCGGTGCTCTTAAGATGATAGTCGCGTGCGGGCCTTTCAAGGGTCCGCACGTAAAAATAGGCTTATTTTTGCGTGTGGACCTCTTAAGGAACTGCCCGCGAAAATCATTTTCACGTGCGTGCATCTTAAGGATCTACACGCAAAAATGAGAGGATGATTTTTTCAGACGCGGTCAGTTATGGGCCGTCTGGAATCTGACGAGGGGTTCATCCAGGAAAATCGTTTTTTAGGAGTGCATGATTTGTTTGCTGCAAAATAGCATAGTCCACATGATTTTGTTCTCGAAATTTTTCTATATCTTCCACATATGGTAGAGGAAATCCCAAATGCCTCTGGAAAGATCCGAAGTAATTTGAGCTGTAATTGTACGTAGCGTCCACGCCAGGATACAAAAATAAGTGAAAACCGGCTCAGGTATTAGAACTGGGCAACCGAAGCAGAGCAAAGGCAGATCGCCGTGCCTTTGGTGAGAAGAAAGAACGGATTAAAGCATGAAAAATTGTGCTGGGCAACCCAACACAGAACAAATGCATCAATGCGCGCATGTGTGTCCTGTTTCCTTTGGTGAGGGGATGGACATGATCACTCAATCCATGCAGCTCTTTATTTTTGAGTCTTTGCTCTGGTTATTGACATGGTTGGTGAGCCCTCTATCAGAGCTAAGAATGGGAGAAGGTCACCATTGAAAATTGAAATTGATGGGGTTGCTGAGATTGATAGATGTTTATAGGCTGGTAGCTAATTTGTATTAGTGAAAAGTAAGTTCCAAGATGTCACAAAGATGAGCCACATCATATGTTGATTTGTAGTCAATGGATTCACAAGCAAACAATAGGCGAATGGATATTAACCATCCGATAGAAAAATAAAAGAGGAGCCAGTAAAATAAAAATAGAGCCCATCAAAACACAGAGGTTCCGGATGATTTGACAGAGCATGAAAGCTCCTCCCCTCTGGACTCTCCTTCAACTTCAATGATCAGCTAGAGAGAGAGAAAAAAGGAACAGCTACAGCCTACAGGAATGGTGACGAAAAGGAGAAGATCGAGAGATGTTATTATCTCTTTGCTTTTTAGTTGTACAGTAAAATCAAATTTACAAAATAACCCTGGAAGTACATAAAATTTTGTATGTAAAATGAAATTAAATTTTTTAAAATATAAGGATAAAAGAAATATATAAGTGGAGGATGGGGGTCATGCAGTAGCATAGATGGTGCGGCAGTTGTTCAAACAACAACAAAGTTGTTGTACAGGAAATGTCTCATTCAATACTACGTTGGTTTTTTCGTGTGAAGAAGCGAGTAAAGCTGCAAAACACAAATACCAGTTGTCGAGCATGATCAAGGTTATCTGACAGCTATTACTACCATACATTTTTGCTGCCAATGTTACCATAGTCCATAGTTCAACTTTATCTGGTCTGGTGGTCTTAATTTTTTGTGAGTTGACAGCCAGCATACACTGTCTGGCATATTCACATGTCAAAGCCACTATATTTCATAGAAAATTTCAAGACCACCAACCCATTTTGGATTTTTTTTTCTACCTTATAACACATAGTGTATATCTCAAATCATAGGCTCATTTTATATTCTGCATTAACAGTATTTTCTTTTCGTCCATGATGAATATGGGATGGCTATTTTCTAGTATCTGTCGTTTATGACCAATTTAATTAAGTCGCCAGTGTCTTGGGTGGTCAGAGGCGGGACTTAATATTTTTAGTAGTTTTAATATGCAGTAGCTAGCTTTCCTTTGCTAAATGAGAAAGGCGAAAGAGAGGTGTCGACTCTCATTTAACATTCGTACGAAAAATCCGCTGAGTTAATGATAAGTTAGTGTTTTTCTGTTTGGGCATATAGCATCTGTCGTTAAATATGTATAGCAGCCAGCCATGCAACCTCATCACTCATCAGCCAGTATAACATAAGCAAGAAAAGATGGCCATGGACAATCAGATCGAAAAACAAGCAGGATGACTGTTCGGAATGCAAGGTATCAGGATATCGGTCGGAGCTTACTCTAAACATGATTTTGCCTGCACTGTGTGCCTACCGGCATATCACAGTGCACTGGCTGCATAGAAAGGCAGGTAGTGTTGGAACAGCTCCGTGTTGGTTCCTGCCGAGTCTTCTGATCCATCAAGAAATTAAGCATCACGCCGACTGATCACTCCATTTGACAGACCCAAATGAAATCAGCGTAGTGATCAGAGAAACCGTTTTTGAGGCTGTCACTCTGTCAGACACTCGCACCTGAGATAGAAATGGATGAGCGAATCATCAATAGATACAAACCTTAAGTGGGATACAAGATCTGTTAAGGCAGGAAGTGATGAATAGATGTGCAGTGCATGTTTTGTCCATGGTGTTCTGTGTACTTCGCATATGTATAC